AGTTTCTCTTAAGATGGTGAAAGAGAAACCTCACAACCAAAACTCAATTTTAAAAATACAAAGAATAAAAATAGCTGTGACCGGTCAATGCTCTAAAACATAAATAAATGAAAAGCTTTCTAAGAAACATAAAGAAAGAAAGATTTTAAAAATAAAAAAAATAAAAATAACTGTGACCAGCTCTAAAACATAAATAAATGAAAGGAAACGTTTATATAAAGTTGCAACTTTAAAATGTAGAATCACAAATGCACCTCAAAAATATATCGGAAATGTTGTTTTAATGTTAACAAACACTCTAGCCGATCATCTCAACATCGAAATGTATGAATATGAAAAAAAAAAGTTTTTGAGTCCCAAAAATAGTGCATATTGCAACAACTATCTAGACCGTCCATTTTCAGAATTTCATATATTTATAAATATACTTAATTTTAACCATTTTTAGAATTTAAAATTTTCTAATTAGGTATGAAAATAGATTTTAAGGTAATACTAATAAATTTTTACAACAAAATTACATGTTATGATAAAATTTTAAGATGCGCCTTAATTGGATTGTTTAAGGTTGCAACCTTATAGAAACCGCACCCATAAATGAAAAGCTTTCTAGGAAATATAAAGAAAGAAAGGAAGATCTTTTCTAGGACGGTAAAGAAATCACTAAAAAAATAAAAATAAAAATAATAATTTATACGATGGAAAAGGAGAAAAAGATTAAACCTTCTTTTATCCTAACTCGGACGAAATCTACATACCTCTTATAAAGAGTTTGAGAGAGAAGGCACGCGTGCTTTCATAATCCATCGCCTCCTACAAAAAATAGTAATTTTGTTTGACTCTCTCTCTCTCTCTCTCTCTCTCAAAAATTGTATCTCCATCTTAAATGCCCATAAATACTACAGTATAAGTGCATATGCATGTCCTACACATGCTGCCATATGCATCCACTTGTAAATTTGTGCATTTTTTATTTGAAAATTCGTTTCTAATGTATTCATTAAAAATAAGCATATATATATATATATAGAGGTCACACTTACATGCATTGTTAATATGGGGTTTTGATTTTTTTTTTTTTAAATTATTTGGGATTGAATGTACGAATTTTGGTATGTAATTCTACTATATCAAAGACCATATCAATCTTTATAGATATTTTAAATATAAATAAGTGGTCTAAAACGTATATTTATTATGATTTGAAAAAACTAATTTAGACTGAAATTATATAACAGCAAGAATTATTGACTTTTGTTCATGCAATTTTATCTACATAAATTTTTAGAAATATCTAGCTTCAAAGTATTGAAATTAGGAATATCATCTATTGTATGTCCCAAAAAGAGAAATATTTGGGATTTACATTAAGTGTTCACCTTAATACATAATATATTAATATATATAGTAAACTCATCAATGATAACTTTTAAGTCTCATAGTCTCTGCTTGAATCAAGGTCAGTTTACATTTAGAGCTCCATACTGAATATAATATGTATTGTGCGAAACAAAGTATCAGCAGTAAAAGAAGGCCCTTAAGAAAGTAGTAATTTATCTTTAAGAGTAATGAGCATATACTCCTGTGGGATCAAACTGTGCAAATATTCCCTCGCACAAAGCACCTTTTAAAAAGATTATTTTAGTCTAATCTTTTGCGAACCGTATGAGAATTATTAAACAACTATGTTCAAAAGGAAAAAATTGAATTTTGAGTTTTATGACACTTAGATCTAGCTCAAAAAAAATTGGACAGTTTCAAATCAATATCAAGACATTTTTTTTTAATACGTAGAGAGTTTTATTTCAGTATATATTTTTTTTACTGAAATTAATTATGAAATGTAGATGTTATATTCTCAAAATTTGAGATCTAAAAAGAATTTCTAGAATATGTTGTGCCTGAGGGAATAAAGGATCGTAAAGACCATGTGGGAATAGGAAATCTTTTCCTTTCGAAATTTATCATAATTGTGTGCTTAATTTGACTAATTTAACAACTCATGAAAAATAATAATTGATTAGATGACAAAGTGCAAAGAAAGGACCATATTTGATTTGATAAATTTCACTTGACGTTGTTGATCCATCCAAGTTGGTTTTCCTTTCAAAATCTTGAGATTTATGCAAATGTTGCTCGAGAAATTATCATAACATCATCAGTTTTCTGGTTTTGTTTTTTTGTTTTTTGTTTTTTTTTGTTTTGTTTTCTTATTATTATTATTATTATTATTATTATTATTATGTCTGTACTAATCCAGGTTATGTTAGCTCTCTTGATTTGATAGTGATCCATTGGGAATTCAAAATTTGAGTTAAATTTCTCTATACCAGTTTTTCATTGAAATGCCTCTGTCTTAGTGCTTCATTCACTCTACTTAAGTATTATTATATTTTTTAGGGAAGCCTCTACAAAATGTATATAGGTAAAGTTCTACGGTACTTTATTTATACCTTATCACCGTGTAAAGTTCATCACATGGTCACAATTGTCTGGTACTATTTAAATTTTTATAATTATTGTACTAATCAGATTTATTTAAAATTTGAAGCATGCGTACATATGACCAAGTTGCACCATAATAAAATATTAAAAAAATAAAAGATATAAAACAAAATGATAAAATTACCCCTGATACTTTATAGGGGTATTTTACATCAGTTTTATCATCTAAATTATTTATTTTATATTTTATTCATGTGCATCTCACTAAAGTACACACACCTACAGATTTCAAATCATTATGATTTATAAAAAAAATATTAAAATTCAAACACTATCAAACATCTATTATTGTGTGATAAACTTTGAATGGAGATAAAGCCGTTGGAGAAATACTGTAAAACGTCACCTATAGACGTTTTATAGGATTTTCCAACTTTTAGAGTTCACTCTATTTAAATTTATTTAATTCCCATATGGAATTTTTCTAGATTTTGTTGTTCACTTGACTTACTTATCAATAGGCATTTTTAATTCGAAGTGGCAAATGACAGGGCATAGCTGCAAGCCCTTTCTAGGACCCTAAAGGGCCTGGCGTGTCCTAAATTGGGTCAAAGGGGCGTTGGCCGAGGGATAAAGGGGCCATAGACGAGGCTCAGACTAAGCCTATTAATGGGATTAGTTTGAGCCAGAGACTAGTAGATATTAACTTCCTTTGTTTTCTAATTTTAAAAAGAAAAACAAAAATTAGTCGAGCCGAGCCATGAGCCCTAGCCCAAACTCCCCTAGACCTAACCCTGGGGGCAAAATTTAATGGCTTGGTCCTAGACTGAACTGAGCCTAGTTGCCAACCCAGTCTCACCCTCAGATAGTTTCCAAATAGCATCTCTTGAGATAATTTATGGTGGAATCAATTGAGCTTACGTGAAGGCTTCAACCAAAAAACACACAACATTATCCTTGTCTATTTACTGGTGTTAATAAAATTAAAATGCATGGGCCAGAATGCCTAATTCTGATACACAATTTTGGGAAAACATCAATTAAAGGGTCAAATTACCTTATCACAAATTCAATTAAAGGGTCAAATCACCTTACAAAATTATTAAAGTCAATGATAATAGGAGTGTTATGTTTTAAGTCCCATTTGTCCCAAATACCTCTTAAAAATATATAGTAAAAAATAACCAAATGGCCATTTATTTAAAATTGGGAATCCTAAAAAAGTAAAGAATATTTTAATCACTTAGCCCACTTGAACTACCCAAGCCCAATGACCAAAGAGGCCCATTTATTTGTTGTTAGTAACATGAAACTACAAAATAACGAAACTGGCCTTAGTTGTTCAACATGAAACCCATTTTTTTAATTGTAAAACTTTGTTTCATGTTACTAATCTTAAACAACAAGGGTATTTTTTTGTTATTTGCCAAGTAAGTAGCTACTTAAGTGGGTTAAAATATCAAAATACCGCTACTTGTTCAATGTTCTCAACTTTGAAGTGAGATAATTCATTCATTTTTCTATATTTTTCCATAGGTTCCTAAGTAAGGCACATTTTATGTCAAATAGAATCATTTGATACTTCAATTATTTAACAAGATAATTTGAGAAATTGATATCTTTTCTAAAATTCAAATCATATTTCATTCAATTCTAATAAATAAAATTATGATATCTTAAAAGTTAAAGTAAAAAGTTTATAAATGTGTTGACCTTATACTGTATGAATAAGGTGCACCTCGATATGTATGAATGCGAAAGAACAAATGAATTTCAAGAGAATAGTATATATTATAATACATTATCTAGACCGTCTATTATCAACATTTTTAAGTGTTAATAGTTTTATTAGATCTGATCCATTTTTAGAACTTTTAATTTCACAGTAAGGGTGAAGAAATATATTTTAAGGCCATCATAATAGTCTCATTACCTAAAATGCATCTTATAAAGAGATTTTTTTTTTCTTGACAAATAAATCTTATAATGAGATTTTGAGGTGCCCATGGTTTAAGGTTGACGCATTAAATGAATTTCACCCAAAGTTAAAATCTTAGATGTGATTGTCTACCAAACAGATGGCCTTGTAACAATTTTTGAGCTCCTAATATTTATTAGAGCAATTTATTATAATATTCCTAACTTTTCAACAATTTGAGAAAGAGAAATCCCCCCTCTACCTGAAGGCGATCCTTTTCAACTATTCCAACTCATCATTATGATCATTTTGAAATTAAACTAAAAGATATGAGTAAACTGTTTGAATAGTTGATCTCTTGTGTGTGTTTTTATATTCTCTCTAAATTTTATTTTCCAAATTCATCTTAATGTGATAAATATTTTTATGAGAATTTAGGGTCAAACCCATCCCCTTAAGAAGGAATTTTTCCCATGGAACAAACTACAGCATACTCCCGCAGAAGCACCAAACCATTCCTATTTTCCCTTCTCAGTTCGAATATCTTCAATTTACCATAAATAACCCCCGTACCACGCAGCTATTAGAACATTAAGGGGTACTTTAGTCATTTTACCATCACCATAAGATTGGGCTCTGGAGTGGCAAAGACCAGTTTTTTGGCTTTGGAAAAACGCGGTAGAGAGAGAGAGAGATGCAATCTCTGCAACAGAAGGCCTCGGAGTGGAGCGGGGTTAAACTCGAGGATGCCTTCGCCATCGATGAAACCAACCTCTTTCAAACCCTAGGTCTCCAAGCATTCATTGACCTATCAACCAACTTCTATGGCAGGTTTTTCACTTATCCTTTTCTTTTTTTTTTTCCCATTTTCCTGTCTATTCCTTCCATATTTAATTCATGTTTTTTGTTTTTAGGGATTATTTCTCCTGTAATTTGTACTAGGCATTGTATAAGTGGCTTGTGGATCGTTTGTCTACTTGATATTATGTCTTAATCATGTATTTCCTTCCTTTGCTTCCTGATTTTTTCAGTTTCAGCGTCTCTAATCATGGTTTTAGGGTTTTTTATGTATTGGGGTTCCATACATAGGTTTGTGTAATGGTCGGTGTATCCTTTGTGTCCTTTGCTCTCTTCTTTTGACCATTGCTTCTAGTTGATATTTTATGCAGTTTCACTGGTTTTGTCACGGTTGTAGGGCTTAGTATCTCATGGTATTCGCATAAGGATCTGTGTTAGTGGTCTCCATATACTTGTGACCATTTGGCTGTTATTTTAAATATCTAATCCATTCAGTAAGTTCCTTTAGACTGTATTTTCACTCCATTTGCAGCTTTTTTCCTCCTGATTTTTGTGTTTAAAGTTTTAAATTTATCTTGAATTCAATTTGGGGTGATAGTGATGGTAAGGGAGTTGAATTGGAATACAGAATCACTATAGCATAACTGGTAATTTTCTAGTTTTGTAATGTTTCCAGCTTGTATCTGCCTCCCACTTTCTAGGGTTTTGGATCCATTATTTGCATGACTAATCGTTCAGTAGTTTCTCTTTTCTGTTATAGCCCCTCAGCGAGAAAAGTTTGCATGCTTGTGTACTATATGTCATTTTTCAAGTTTATCAATTACCTTCATGGATTTTCAATCATGTTGCCTTCTTATCAATGTTCAGTAAGTCAGAGGTGGCCGCCTTGGCAGTTGGGGGGCTGGGCTGCCTAGGCGGGCGTCCATACCCAAAAAAACAGGTAGTTGGGGGCTGGGCCGCCTAAGCGGGCGCTCAGACCCAAAAAACCCGATGATTATTTTTTAAAATTTGGATCCTCACATCTCCCCCAATTTCATTATACATAAAATTGTCTGTTTTATTGTTTAATAAGTAAGTTTTGTGTGTATTGGAGTTTTGTATGTATTGGCTTCTTATTACAAATAGGAAGTGACATTGACCTGCCTCACTTTAATGTATTGGCTTAACCAAAAAATAAATCTAGGTAAAACATACACATCAAAATTGCAATGATATAACATAAAATCGAAAAAGAATATCACACATGAAATTATTTAATAAGCAGTAAGCAAATATTAAACCAACTAATAAAATAATCATGCCTTATGAATCATACATCGAGAAAGCACATTATACAAATAGTAAAAAATAACATCATTAGACAATAGACATTAAGGGAAAAAATACAAAACCTAATAAAAACTATTGAAATATACCAACCTTCTTGAAGTGGACTCGATTTCGGGCCAAATTGAAATGTTTGGATCCCAAATCTCCTCTTTTACAACCCCTACAAGCCTAAAAAAGATTGGGGTTGAATATCCTTTAACATTGCGACCATTTGAGGATTTCGAAAAAAAATTTGATCTCTCAAAAAATCTTCAAATCTGGTAGTTTTCAAGTTGTTTCTCACTCTAAAGTTAACTAATATTGTTTTTGGGGACAAGAATGACCCCCCCAAACCCTTATCCCCCATTTTAATGGGGTAAAATGACTTTTTTAGCTCCCTCCCCAAATTTTTTTCCTCCATACTCCTGCAGGCCGCCTAGGCGGGCACCTTTCACCGCCTTTTCGACTGCCTAATCGGGCTCCCGACCGCCTAAGCGGGCGCCTAGTTCTGGCGCCTAACAGTGATTGCCTTAAGAATGCCTAGGCATTGTCTCTAGAAAGCCGCCTAGGCGATCGGACGGCTGACTTTTTGAACATCTCTTCTTATTAGCTGATTATTTAATGTAGAGTCATGACTTACGGCATTGGTCACTTTTCCTTTTGTATTCTGTGTGCTTTGGGGTTCAGGAATCGTGCAATTTCTTTGTTCATGAAATGTGATAGTTTCTTTGTTCTCTCAATCCCTATTTTCCCTTTGGTAATTGCATGGCATGGTTTTCCATAGAGGTATCAATGCCAAATGCTAGATCAAAATGCTAGGATAAGGTTGAAGAATTAAGGCAAATCAAGGGGGAAGAATGTAGAGAGCTATCAATCTTGGATGATTGAACAATATTGACATCTCTTGATTCCTGCTTCATGTTAAAACTTAATATCTACCCACATTGATACAAGTCTAGGCAGAATTGGTCAAGGCGCCTATATCATCATTGTTAGTCTCCTAGGGCTAGTCGATGAGTCCTTTTAAAGTAAGTGAGCATATAGTTCTCAGGATTATTCACAGAGAATGTATGCTTAACCAAATTGCAGTGCGTCAAAATATATCCTTACATATAGACAGCATTCTGAAAAAAATATATTAGAAGAAATATTCTATTCTATTGTCTATACCATTCAATATGGAAAGCATGTATTCGTGCATGTGCAATAGAATATTCTTCGTACTTTCTCAAAGGAAGTATTTTTTTTGAGGGAATTTCTCAAAAGAATTATTCTATTCCATGAACTTTTATCAAAAAGAAATATTCTAACCTTTCAAAAGGAAAAGAATGAAGGGAACATTCCATGCCCTTGTCGGCAGTTGAGACAGACTTAGTTGCTCAGTTGAGACAGACTTAGTTGCTCATAGATTTCTGTTTTTATATTTTATTTACTTATTTTTGTGTGACGGAAATTTCCCTTTGTGAGCGTCTTTATGTTTTGCTGATTGTGGTTGTTATGTAGATGGTTTCAGTATGTCGATATGGTTTGTGGTGGTTACCATTGTTGTTTCCACTTTTTTTATGAGTTTCCTTTTCCTCTGGAGCATATGAGTAGATTATCCTTGTCTAATTCCTGGTTTGACCCTTATTGGAAAGGGTTTATGCAGACGAGGAAGAATGGTTTCTTTCAATTTTTTCCAATTCAAAAAAGGAAGATGCCATCCGTAACCAGTATGAATTTTTTGTTCAGAGAATGGGAGGCCCCCCCTTGTACTCCGAGAGAAGAGGTGACCTTGATAATATTCCATTTTGCTTTTTATCTAACTATCTTCTCTTTATTTTCTTGACAAGCAATAGATTCTTGGTAGCATTTTTATGGCATCTGAGCTCATTCAGTTGTTTGGCTGAATCTTAAATGACATTCCAGTTTCTTTAGATACCTGCTTTGATTTTAACAATTTCTGGAAAGGGGAGCACTTGGCGGTTGTTTAAAACACATGCACTTGGCTAAGAATTATCTTATTCCCGGCGCGTATTTCTTATCGATCAATTTAGATGCATGCTTTTCATGTCTATATTACTTAAAACATAAGTATACAAAGTTTGAAGGAATAATAGCAACAAAATTAGCCCCATTTCTCAAAAAAAAAAATAGCAACAAAATTAGCCCCCAAAAAGAAAAAAAGAAAAAGAAAATGGAAGAACAGTAAAATGGGATGACAAGCCTGACTTCTTGCTTTTGTACTTCATTATTAGCTGCATAGAATTCTCTTACTGCATCATGACTGATGAATGCATCATGCCACGATGTAGTGTATGTTTTAGTACCTAAGCTATTCTTAAGCTAGAGTGATTAAAGTTCTGAAGTTTATCCAGGGAGTCACTTTGCTATATACGTAGGATATCAGTGGATGCCTTTGAATCTGCAATTACCTGTTCAGGCTTTCCTTTTTGATAATTTAGTAGAGCAGCAGGGAGATAATTAAGTTGTTTCTTCTTTTTTCTCAAGTTAAGATAGTCTCCTAATTTTGTTGAAGTTTTGAAAGCCCTTTCTAAGGGCCTAGGTTCCTAAAACTATTAAGGAACTGGTTTCCTAATTTTGAGAGAATCTGGAAGACTAGAAACTTCAGAAAAGTAGTGATTGCTTGAGTCCCAGGCTCAGCAAAATAAAGAGGGAGTCACGGAAAACATACACACACACATGCAGACAAACTAAAGAGGGAGTCACATGTTATATATTAAAAAAGATGAAGATAGTACGAGATCTAAAATGTCAGACAAGTGATGCTCGGCATTTTAACATTTGTTCTTTCAAGATGCTTTGAACTGGGCAGTGTTTCAAAAAGCGCTAGGTGGCACTTAGGCGGTCGAGGGGGTCCAGGCTGCCCAGCGCCTAGACGGGCACTCAGAACCTGGGCGGCCCAGTAGATTATTGGTTTTTGAGTTTTCTCTCTCTAAAATAGCCTCTAATAGGTTTTAGGTTTCAAATGAACCTAAAACCCACAATTTTACCCTTTTAGTATTAAGAAAATGACCCAAAAATACCCTCAAGGAGCCGCATTTCCACCCCTGTGCGGCCGCAGGCACCTAGGCGGGCGCTCAAGGATATCTACCTAATTTGGCCACCTAGGCCTGGGTGATTCACTCGGGCCTTCTGGATTGCCAAGGCGTTAGGCGGTCTGCTTTTTAAAACACTGGAGCTGGGTGTTTTTGACATTGAATAACTTGGGTGGCTCTTATAGTGACATTGTGGATCTGAAGTTGATGCATTATATCTCTGTATGTTGTACTTGGGGCATGTTGTGATGGTTGGAATGTAAATGTAAACCTTCAGATGATAGTGGATTAGCTGTAGGTGCATCTGTACTTTGGTTGCGAGTAAGTAAGTGATTGCAATGAGAATTTATTCAGTTTGACAATCTTTTTCTTATTTTTAATTGATGAGGTGAGAGTATACCAGAAATTAAAAGCAAGATTTTTTGGGTGCTAGTGATCAATGATAGTTGTATAACTCGAGGGTGGAGGAGCTCTGTTTAGAGTACATATAATTTTGAGTATCATTACTAATGAAAGGGAAACAGAGAAGAGGTCTTTGTTTTTTCTTGATTTTGTTGATCAATTAAAAATGAGTGCTATGTTAGATCATCGTATTAGATTTCTAAATAAGATCTCAGTAGTTCTCATTCTTATGTATTTGTTTAGATGTTTTTATATCAGGAAGCATCCTTAAGTTTCATATTCCAACCAAAGATAAAATTCAATCTTTTCCAATAAATGGAGTGATGAATATAAATTTTTTTTCTCTAGTTTTGGAAAGCATGTGTGTCAGGGTAGTTGAGAGAGTTTCAAGAATCAACAATCCCCATCTTGACAATTTTTTTCGTTTGATTAGACTATGATAGCGGTTTTCCTTTGTATGAATTTTGGTTGCAGTAACCTGACTAGACCATGTTGGACGGTGAATTACACTCGCTTCATCTCTTCAAAGATTGATAAAAATCAGTGTTAAGAAAAAACGGACTTTGGTTGTGACTTGCAGGGTCCCAAGCTTGGGTCAGGTACCTGAGCCTGTCAGATAGTTGGCCAAGTCCAGACAATAAAATAAAATAAAATATTGGGTAATTGCTCAGACTCGACCGGTTCCATGTGTTTGGTTTTGGACTAGCTGCCAAGCCCCGATAACTCGGTAGAGTTTTCAAACATTGAGAGAAATTAGTACTCTTTATTGCTTATGTT